CTCTACTTCTATGAGACCAACTTATTTAGTTTCCACATGTTTGAGAAAATGCCTTTTTTTCCCAAGGTTATGAAATTATTTATTGTCAGAATCTACAGTGCTAAAGAACACTAGACCTTATTCTTTCTTTCTAGCTATAATTTTGTGTCCATTCCCTTCTCCCCTACTTTTCCTAGCCTCTAGTAACCACTATTCTACTCTCTACTTCTATGAGACCAACTTATTTATTTTCCACATGTTTGAGAAAATGCCTTTTTTTCCCAAGGTTATGAAATTATTTATTGTCAGAACTAAATAGACTCATCTTCTGATCTAATGATTCCACAACATCTTCAATAGTTTAAATAAGGAGACTCTATTCACATTCACAGAACAATTGAAATAATTGTCTATAAATTTAGGAGGAAGACAGAGAGAAGGCTTAGTAGAAGCCAGAGGAGTTTTCATAGAAGAATTTCCTTAGGTGGACCTGAGCGGGCAGGAATGTCATGATCAGAGGAAAGGGATGACATGAGTTTGACTACATCAGACACAATTACAGAGTAATGGAATATAGGTTAGAAAGTTATGCTATGGCCATATTACAAAGAACCCACGAGTTTGGCAAAGAGCTTGGCAAATTTCCTACACAAAGATAATGTGGAAATTTATAAGTATCAATTTTCACCCAATCATCAGACACAATTACAGAGTAATGGAATATAGGTTAGAAAGTTATGCTATGGCCATATTACAAAGAACCCACGAGTTTGGCAAAGGGCTTGGCAAATTTCCTACACAAAGATAATGTGGAAATTTATAAGTATCAATTTTCACCCAATTTGTCTCTGTATTTCTACGGTGATTTTTATATACTTCTTTTATGATGAAACAGCCCTTTTAATTCATTTTTCTTCCATTTCTAAATGTATTTGTCGTTCCAATAAGTTTGGAGCTTCCTGATGATGGAGATCATATCTCTCACATCTTGCTTGTCCAGTGCCTGGCACGGGCTAATCGCTTAAGTGGTTCTTTAATGAGTGAGTAGGCATTAAGGTATTGGAGGTTTGAGTGGCAGGCTGCCGTGATAAAGTAGTGTGTGTAGATTCATCTGTTGGGTTTCCATAGGATGCAGTGAGTGTGGTGCGGGGAGGCAAAAAGGAAAAGCCCAGAGGTGAAAAGAGGCAGACACAGTAATCCAAGCAGATGTGTGAGGTACCTGGACAGGCATGGCAAGGAGCCATGCATTTGGGAGGAGAACATGTCTTTCATCTTGACTTCAACTGTGATGTTTCTGCGGGTTCAAAAGGACCTCATTCAATGACAGTTTTGCATACAGTCGTAATAATTGGTCACCTCTATTGTTTTCTTTCTGACACACTGAGGAAGGTCGATTTTCCCCAGAGTAGACTTCTGCTCCCTCCAGCACTTTTATTTCAATATTTTAGCTTAAGTCAATATTCCCAAAGTGTGTTCTGTGGAACCTAAATCCTGGGGAATATTAATAATCATTATAAACCAAAAAAAGAAAGAAAAAGATTCCCCAATTTTGTGAATTTAGGAAACAATGGGTAAGAAATGACATTAATAGAATTAGGGTTCTCAGTGTCTTCAATATGCTAATGAATTCTGTGAATCTTGAGAAGGAGGATATAATGTGTCATTTCACAAGTTTGTTTGTCCATAGACGAGACACTTGCAGATCTGCAAGTTCTGAGCTGCCCCAGGAAGTCTAGCTCAAAGTTCAAGTGGAGGCTGCAATCCATCCTTTGCTGTGTTTTCCAAGCCCTTTGCTTTGGCACAGCACTGTTTCTGTCCAGATAGTTTATTTTCCTAATTCTCTCAAAGGAACCTTCTGTCTGTCAAGCCTTGTGCCCCCAGAACTGCATCCGCCCACAGGGAGCACTCTTCTCTAATTCTCACCAAGTTGCTGCATGGTCTGGGTCTGGGTAGGGCTTCTCAGCCTTTTTTCTTTCTTTTCTTTTATTTCTCACTTGCTCTGCTTGTACCCAGGGGAAAAAATAAGTTTATGTTTCCTTTTGTCTGACCTCACTTAGGATTGCCATTCAGAAGCCCCCCCCTCAAAATACCCAAGTTACCTTTTTTCAATCCCACACTATCAACATATTTCTATTTGTCATTGTATAATCACGCACTGAAAAAATTTGTTTGGGTTGACCTGATTTTTACAGATTAAACAGATTTTTCACATTTATATGATCATGGAACTCTTTGTGAACACCTTTGATATTCCTCTAACTCATGTTCGGTAGACACACTATGGGAACAGTGATTTAAACTAAGGAAAAAAGCCAAGAAACCATCTAGGGAAGAGAAGAGCTTTTTCAAGAATCTGAGATGACTCATGGCTCATCTTTCCTACCCAGGGAAAATAATTTAACGAATCCCAACTTTCATCCAAGGAAAATGAGATATTTTGGGGTGGGAGTGCAGTAAAGTTTCTCAGCATTCCTAAAGTTTTACCACTGTTGTCACTGTCTACCCTAACATACATATATTCCATCATATGTTAAAAATGGCTTTAAAAAAGTTGGAAAAAGTGGGGAAAGTCAGTTAGCCAGAAGCATACCTACATAAAAAAGAATTAATGTTCAGTGTACATGGTCATGTTTAATATCATGCACATTTTGGGGGTATTTTCTGTGTAATCACCAGGCTAAAAGCTAACCCTTTTATTATTTTAGCTCTTCCTATAGCTACCAGTTCAATTCAATTCATATTGACCTCAGGTTCTTCCTAGAAATACTTGTTATATTTCTGATTCTCTTCTACCTGAGCAGATATTAAGACAACTGCAACACCCAGAAACTTAGTCCTCAAGCTGCTGTGCCCTAGAAATGAGATGTTATTTCCTTGCCTTACATCATAAGTGGATAATGGAACTCTTACAGATCCAGCAAAATTTTCTTTATTGCTTTCCTGGAATTACTTGGCAATTCCAGGAACTGCAACTGTATTACATTAATTCATAGCAGTAAGTAATTTAAATTCTCCCAAAGTACTAACGTTAAGATTTTTCATTTGAATATCATCACAATGACTTTTATGCAAACAAATCCCCAGGAGCCAATAAATGATTTCCTTTTTGATGCTATGGTGAGTGGCAATTTGAGGGGGAGAAGAAGTACCTCATTTTCTCTAGAATATAAAACATTTCAAGCTGCAAAAAATTAAAGTGTAAAAAGGAAATGTCAGAAATAATCCCAAGGATATGTATATTGACACCCAAATCAGTGTTTGGCCTACTGTGGCCCTCAATGAAAGCAAGTAAAAGGGCAAAACTTACAAAGGACTATCTTTTCTTAAACAACGCTGACTATTTTTCCCGCCTAGCTGTGTGAGGACAAACATGAAAAAGAAAACAACCAGGAAAAAAAAAAATGACTTTTTCAGCTTATCATACAGTTAGGTCACTGAAAACCATGAATTTGAACCACATCTCTAAAAATTTGCATCTTATTGATTGAAGGAAAGATCCAAAAATATACCTAATCTGAGCATTTCAGGAAATTAGATCTGATTAAGAGATTAAAAGGCTTTTTGCTACTTCGAATCAGAATTGGCCACAGTAAACTGATTCTATTGGAACTCTAGGGACTTTGCAGGGGAGAGTTGATCTTTTTAGTTGATCTTTAGTTGGCTCTGCAATTTAAGTAATTCTGTGGTGTCTTTGAATCCCTCTTAACCTCAGTGTGACTTAACCTCTCTCAATCTCAATTTGCTTGATTTACAGATATAATCACAGTTTGTGGTAATTGGCATGCAGCCAATATGGATCTGGCCATCACATCTTAGGCACATGTAGTGACAATTTGCTTTGTACCCCATGAATATTCATAATAAATAAATAAATAAATAAGTAAATAAATAAATAAATAATGTGGATAACAATAGTACCCACTACATCAAACTGCTGTAGGAATTAAATGAGATAATGTATGAAAGTGCTTAATAGCTTAACATCACTACTCAATCAATGTCAGTTATTATCATCTTCTCCGATACTACTTATAATTTAGCAGGCCCTACTATTGCAATTTGAACTAGAACAATATCTCAGGTGATTAAATCTCTGGAAAGCAAAACACACCAAACATTCAATGAGAAACCTGATGGTTTACAACTCATCCAACAACAAACAACAGCCCTGCTTAAGATGCTGAGAGCTTCCAGGCAGCGAGGGCCTGTTGTCTTCATCTTGGAGTAGAGAGGATACACTTCAGCAGCCTGGAAGCCCTGCTCTACCCTGGGCATTAATAACAGGCCTTGAGTACAATCAAATCTCAACTGGAAAGTATACATGTCAGGGAAACACCCCACAGTGGGTAAAAATAGTTCCGTGAGTTAGAGATTTGTGATAACTAGAGAGGTAGTTATACAAGATAACTATTATCAGATGATAATACCTCTTAAAAATAAAAGGGAAAACCAATACAATAGTACAAAATATAGGCATGTTAGGTAATTTGAGGCAATTTCACAAAGGAGTTTGCTAGGTTATCAGGCAAAATTCAAACGTATTTTAGTGGACATTTTGAGGATTTTTGAGGACAAACATTTACTAATCATCAGAGCATTCATGTCTGAATTTACCAGCATTTATTTCATTCTTTTGTGATAATGAATATTCCAAAAGCATCAAAGCAGAGTTTTGATGAATTCACAAAATAACTGTATTTTGTTAAAAAAGAAAAAACATTGGCACACTGAACAACCAATAATCAAAATCTGTGTTTCTGTGAAATCATTAGCAATGTTAAAGAATACTCAATCACTCTTTAAAGGAGACTATGTCTAATTGGTAATAGTGAAACTTCTATGCACACATGAAAATTTTGAGGAATGTAACAACCATTTTAGGAAAAGATTTTTGTATTTATATGACAAAATTATTACTGAAAGCTCAAAAATTATTTTAGTGATTCAAAATTTCTTTAAGTGCACATATGAACACACCTACACAAACATATGCACATATGCAAATCCGAAAGAACACTTACTGTTATTTCATTCATACTCAGAAGCATGGAGCTAGGTGGCAAGGTGCCCAGGCGAAATTTGAAACCATCTTCTAAAGTCATTCCCCAAAATTGGCTGTAGTTCTCTGCTGTCCATCTGCCTTACAATGAAAGAGAAAAAATACATATAGGTTATGTGATGTCACTTTTATAAATACATGTTCATTTATATTTCTGAAAGTATACAACAGCAAATTTCACAAAATGAAAACTATATATTACTGCAGTCTAGATATTCTCCATCTAAACAATGCATTGTTGATTATTCTAATAATCAAGCACATGAGATGCCCCTCCTAAATTTGGTCCATTTTATTTATTTTAATGACTCATATGAGAAACCTAAGGCCATTATCAACATAGAGTAAAACTAAGAATATAAAATCTTTATATACTGCTAAAGGGATTAAGTGGTAATAAAGCCAATATATGCAGTTTCCTTTAAATAACCATTAAATATATTTTTAAAAGAAGTTTGAATATACAGAAATATACTATTACATTAAATAGGGTAGTCTGTTTCTTTCTTTTTAGTTTACATTTGAAAAGAAGTTGGTCAGGTAAAAAGAATTATACATGAAAAATCAAGGACAAAATAGTTATATTTTAAATAAAAAATAGTGCTAATTAGATATTGAAATGTTTTGTTTTTCCTGTATTAAAATGAGTCAATTTGTGTTGTGTTCAATAACATTAATTATTAATAATATAAAATTCATTTATGTAAAATTAGGTAATAAAAAGAACATATTTTTCAAGAGAAATATTTTGTGCTCTTAGAAATAGAACTTTCTAGCAAATCGATGACCTGAAAAAAAAAAAATGTAGCAGAACTTGCCGAACTGAAGAAGTTATTCAATGAAATAAAAAACACAATGAAGAGTTTAACCAGCAGGATAGCAGAAGTTGAAGAGAGAACCTCTGAACTTGAAGATGGACTGATTGAAATAACACAAGCAGACAAGAAAAAAGAAAAAAGAATCAAAGATATTGAAGAAAATCTGAGAGGGACATTAGACAACATTAGGCGCTCAAATATCCAAGTCATGGGTATTCCAGAAGGGGAGGAAAAAGGAGAACGTATTGAAAACATATTCAACAAAATAGGGGTGGAAAACTTTCTAGGCATAGGAAAAATCACAGATCTTCAGATCCAGGAAGCTCAATGATCTCCAAACGTATTCAAGCCAAAAAGGTCTTCTCCAAAACATGTTATAGTCAAATTGGCAAAACTCAATGACAAAGAGAGAATCTTAAAAGCTGAAAGAGAGAAGCATCAAATCACCTATAAGGGAGCCCCAATCAGGCTAACATCAGACTTTTCATCACAAACCCTAAAAGCTAGAAAGGAATGGGATGATATATTCAAAATACTAAAAGACAAAGATTGCCAGCCAAGAATACTCTACCCTGCAAGGCTGTCCTTCCGAAATGAAGGGCAAATAGTATATTTCTCAGACAAACAAAAACTGCGGGAGTTCACCACAACATGATCACCCTTACAAGAAATTCTCAAGGGAGTACTGGAATTGGTTCCTTAAAAATAACTACCATTGTCATAAAAACCCAAGTAAAATCAAAACCCAATAGTATAATAAAAATGACAATCATGAAAAGAAAACAAACAAACAAACAAAAACAATATCTACAACCTAAGGAACCAACAAACACAGAAAACAAAC